GAAGACGGCTGTGCATCTGACCCCACAAGCAAACAGGTAGAAGGAACACATGAAATCACACTCCACTGAGAGTTTCAAGTGTGAAATATGCAATAAAATGTATCTTCGGGAGAGTGCGTGGAAACAGCACCTCAGTTGTTACCACCTGGAAGAAGGTGGAGTCAGTAAGAAGCAGAGAACTGGGAAAAAAATACACATATGTCAGTACTGTGAGAAGCAGTTTGACCACTTTGGACATTTTAAAGAGCATCTTCGAAAACATACAGGTGAAAAACCTTTTGAATGTCCAAATTGTCATGAACGATTTGCTAGAAATAGTAGCCTCAAATGTCACTTGACTGCATGCCAAACTGGAGTGGGAGCAAAAAAGGGGAGAAAGAAGCTCTATGAATGTCAGGTCTGTAATAGTGTGTTTCACAGCTGGGACCAGTTCAAAGATCACCTGGTGATACACACTGGAGATAAACCCAACCATTGTACTCTGTGTGACTTGTGGTTTATGCAAGGAAATGAATTAAGGAGGCATCTCAGTGATACTCATAATATTTCAGAGCGCCTGGTAACTGAAGAGGTTCTTTCAGTAGAAACACGTGTGCAAACTGAACCTGTGACGTCAATGACTATTATAGAACAAGTTGGGAAGGTGCATGTGTTACCACTGCTCCAGGTTCAGGTGGACTCAGCACAAGTGACTGTGGAACAGGTCCATCCAGATCTGCTCCAGGACAGCCAAGTGCACGAGTCGCACATAAGTGAGCTTCCAGAGCAGGTCCAGGTAAGTTATCTAGAAGTGGGGCGAATTCAGACTGAAGAAGGTACTGAAGTCCATGTAGAGGAGCTGCATGTTGAACGGGTAAATCAGATGCCAGTGGAAGTACAAACTGAGCTTCTAGAAGCAGACTTGGATCAAGTGACCCCTGAAATCATGAACCAAGAGGAGAGAGAGCCTACCCAGGCAGATGCTGCTGAGGCTGCTACAGAAGAACACGAAGATGCTGAGGCTTTAGAGACCAAATCAACAGTGGATTCCCAAGCCGAAAAGGCAGGAAATGAGAACAGAACACCTATGCCAGTTTTAGAATGAAATAACAAATGCATATATTTTTAAAGTTATCTGTTGGGTTTTTCAACTGATGATGGGCAGTGTGACTGTCCTTACGCTAACAGACATGTGGACCAAAGTTAAACTTTCCTGGTGTGCTGAACTGTTTCTATGGAAGCAGACTGATTTCCCCCCACTTTGCCACAGAGGAGGGAACTTTCCCATAAGTGAATGGGAAGCTTTGAGAAGTATATTTCTAGAAAACTTAAAATGGATTACATTCTTATTATATAGTTGGGTACGAATGTATATTTTCATTGTGGTAAGAGTTCTTACTCTCCTTCCCTGGACATGTCCTTCTTCAAGTCCCCTCCCCCCCCCCCCCGCCCCATGTTGTAAAATCAAATGTAAAATCATTAGAATACAAGTTTATGTATTCTAATGCATGTTAGAAAATTTGAATATATAGGAAACAAGACTGCATGAAGAAAAGTGCATTGTTACTGTGCAGTTAAATTTTGGCTTCTGGCTTCCTTTAGCTTGAACAACATCCTTGTCTGCCCTGATGGATAGTAATAGATGGCATCTCTGCAACAGAAACAGAGTGGTGGTGGCGAATTTCTAGAATATTTAAAAAAAACACACACACACCCATGTGCCTTTTCAAAACCAACTAAACTTCTATAAAGCATCTCTAGTTCTTTCAAAATTTGTGATGTAAGCAGTGTAGGTGATGCTGTAGTACTTTACATTTTTTTGCCTATAATGACAGCTACCAATTCTTTTTCACTTAGATTGAGAAATTTCATTTAATGGCAGCTGAAGGGCCATTTTCAATTGGGAAAATTCATGTATATCTGTGGTAAACTTTATTTTGATAAAAAGTTGCACTAGTAATTTTACCACCAGATGAAAACAAGATGAGCATCATTTAAAAATTAATGTATTTAAAACAAAGTACAGAGAAAAAGATGTATATAATATATCAGGCTTTGTTTTGAATGAATCTTTTCCCCCAATCCTTAATATAAAGATCTTGTGCTATAATTTTTAAAGCCATACAAATAAGAATGCTAAACTGTGGACTTAAAAGTAGGTGTGTAAATATTTTTAATCAGTATTACATGGAAAATAAAATATAACAACTACAGAAAATAAACCAATATGCTCTTTTCTTTACCTGTTAAATATTGGGAGATACTTATATTTTTAAAGTAAACTTTAAAATTAAAAAAAAAAAAAGAGGAGGATTCTCTCAGCAATAGGTATGTGGGAAGGACCCCGAGTTTGCTGCCTCAAGTGGAATATACAGCGAGAAGCCCTAACGTGAAAGGAGGCCGGATTTCCTTGCAGTGGCTTGAATACAGGCTCGTCTTTCATCTCACAACATGAAGGGATGTCTGAATCCCCTGTGGAGACCTTAGAGAAAGCCCTAGGTCCCTGCCTCATTTTGACGGAAGGCCTCACATCTCGTTGACACCTCGAGAGGCACGCGGAGTTCACTGCTTCAATAGGTGACGATGCCTGACTCCTCTTGAATACTGATAGGAATCCCAAAATCCCTGTGGCTACAGGAAAGGGTCCTTGGGGGCCCTGCCTCACCTCGAGAAGCGTCCCTTTTGCCTGGCCAAGCCTCGAAGAGATTCGTGAGGTGTCCCTCGTTACTAGACAGGAGTCCTGACGTCACTGAATAAACACGTGTTTTGAAGGGCCATCCCCGCCGTAACTCGAGAACATACCCCAGGTCCCCGCCGCAACTCGAGAAAAACCATGAGACTTCACCTTAGATGCGATATGAGGCCCGATTCCACTGCATTGCTTGCAGAGCAATTCCGTGATCCCCATTAAACAAGTCAGGAGCTTCGACTTGCTTAATGGATCTCGAGAGAGTCCCCAAGTACACTGTCACAAGTCTAGACGGATCCTGAGGTCACCCCAGCAACGCACAGCAGCTCCATGTGCCCCAAATCAACTCAAGATGAGGCCCGATTCCCCTGCATTGACTCCAGAGCCATCCCCCGTTCCACATTCAACACGACCAGTCACTTGACTTCCTTCAGGAACTCCAGAGATGCCCAGAGAACACTGTTCCAAGTCTAGAGGAACACCAACTTCAGCACAGCAACTCGAGGAATGCTCCGTGTACCCCAAATCGTCTCGAGATGAGAGCTGATTTCCTGGCTTTGGCTCAAGACGTATGCCAACTCTCCAGAAGCACCTCAAGAGTAGGCTTCTCTCAGAAATAGGTGTGTGTGACGGACCCCGAGGTTGCTGCCTCAAGGGGAATATACAGCGAGAAGCCCTAACTTGAAAGGAGGCCGGATTTCCTTGCAGTGGCTTGAATACAGGCTCATCTTTCATCTCACAACATGAAAGGATGTCTGAATCCCTTGTGGAGACCTTAGAGAAAGCTCTAGGCCCGTGCCTCATTTTGACGGAATGCCTCACATCCCGTTGACACCTCGAGAGGCAGGCGGAGTTCACTGCTTCAAAAGGTGACGATGCCTGACTCCTCTTGAATACTGATAGGAATCCCAAAATCCCTGTGGCTACTGGAAAGGGTCCTTGGGTGCCCTGCCTCACCTCGAGAAGCATCGCTTTTGCCCTGGCAAGCCTCGAAGAGATTCCGGAGGTGTCCCTCGTTACTAGACAGGAGTCCTGACGTCAGTGAATAAACACGTATTTTGAAGGGCCATCCCCGCCGTAACTCGAGAACATACCCCAGTTCCCTGCCGCAAATCGAGAAAAACCTTGAGACTTCCCCCTAGAGGCGAGATGAGGCCCCATTCCCCTGCAGTGCATGCAGAGCTATTCCGTGATCCCCATCAAACAAGTCAGGAGCTTCGACTTGCTTAATGGATCTCGAGACAGTCCCCAAGTACACTGTCACAAGTCTACACGGACCCTGAGGTCACCCCAGCAACGCACAGCAGCTCCACGTGCCCCAAATCAACTCGAGATGAGGCCCGATTCCCCTGCCTTGACTCCAGAGCCATCCCCCGTTCCCCATTCAACACGACCAGTGGCTTGACTTCCTTCAGGTAACTCCAGAGATGCCCCGAGAACACTGTCCCAAGTCTAGAGGAACACCAACTTCAGCACAGCAACTCGAGGAATGCTCCGTGTACCCCAAATCGTCTCGAGATGAGAGCTGATTCCCTGACTTAGTATCAAGACGTATGCCAACTCTCCAGAAGCACCTCAAGAGGAGGCTTCTCGTTCCCTGCGTGAGTGCCGGCCCGGTCGGGTCGGGGGAGAGGAGGGAGGGCGGGGGAGGGAGAGGCGACCCGGGAGTCGTTGTGGGCCATGGGCCGGACCGGGTCCGGGAAGGCGGGAGCCAGGGCCGGGCCGAGGGGCTTGGCGGGCCGTTAGCGGGCCGCGCCGGCTGTAGGGTCTCCTCCCCTGCCGGACTTGCGCGCCCCGGCGCTAGGAGCGTCCGGTGCTGTGTCCACCCCGCTCCAGCTCGCGTCTCCTGACTCCAGTTAGGTCAGGCTCGGAGTCCCGTGGCCGCGGCTCTGGCCCCCAACGCGCGGCGGCCGCCCGGCTCGCCTTTCTTTCTTCCCTCGCCTTCCTCTCCTCTTGCCTCACCCTCCCCCTTTCTTTCACGTTGCTGGGGTTTTGTTTTTTTTGTCGTTATTTTGTGCTTTAGGGGTTTTGTTCCTCAGCCCGAGCTCATGGGTGTACATTATCATGCTCCTCTTTTGTAGAGCAACCGGACGGCCATGGAGGCCGAAGAGACGATGGAATGCCTTCAGGAGTTCCCTGAACATCATAAAATGATCCTGGACCGATTGAATGAACAGCGAGAGCAGGACCGGTTTACTGACATCACCCTGATTGTGACGGACACCATTTTAAGGCCCACAAGGCTGTTTTGGCTGCTTGCAGCAAGTTCTTCTATAAATTCTTTCAGGAGTTTACTCAGGAACCTTTGGTGGAGATAGAAGGTGTTAGTAAAATGGCCTTTCGTCATTTGATTGAGTTCACATATACAGCAAAGTTAATGATACAAGGAGAAGAAGAAGCCAATGATGTATGGAAATCAGCAGAGTTTCTACAGATGCTAGAAGCTATCAAAGCCCTTGAAGTCAGAAACAAAGAAAACTCAGCTCCACTAGAGGAAAATACCACAGGGAAAAATGAAGCAAAAAAAAAAAGATTGCAGAAACTTCAAATGTTATCACTGAGTCATTGCCATCTGCAGAGTCTGAATCTTTTGAAATTGAGGTGGAGATTGCCGAAGGCACAATCGAAGTGGAAGATGAAGGCATCGAAACGTTGGAGGAAGTGGCTTCTGCCAAGCAGTCCATAAAGTACATTCAGAGCACAGGTTCCTCTGATGATTCCGCTCTGGCATTGTTGGCAGATATTACCAGCAAGTACCGCCAAGGCGATAGAAAAGGGCAGATTAAAGATGAAGACGGCTGTGCATCTGACCCCACAAGCAAACAGGTAGAAGGAACACATGAAATCACACTCCACTGAGAGTTTCAAGTGTGAAATATGCAATAAAATGTATCTTTGGGAGAGCGCGTGGAAACAGCACCTCAGTTGTTACCACCTGGAAGAAGGTGGAGTCAGTAAGAAGCAGAGAACTGGGAAAAAAAATACACATATGTCAGTACTGTGAGAAGCAGTTTGACCACTTTGGACATTTCAAGGAGCATCTTCGAAAACATACAGGTGAAAAACCTTTTGAATGTCCAAATTGTCATGAACGATTTGCTAGAAATAGTAGCCTCAAATGTCACTTGACTGCATGCCAAACTGGAGTGGGAGCAAAAAAGGGGAGAAAGAAGCTCTATGAATGTCAGGTCTGTAATAGTGTGTTTCACAGCTGGGACCAGTTCAAAGATCACCTGGTGATACACACTGGAGATAAACCCAACCATTGTACTCTGTGTGACTTGTGGTTTATGCAAGGAAATGAATTAAGGAGGCATCTCAGTGATACTCATAATATTTCAGAGCGCCTGGTAACTGAAGAAGTTCTTTCAGTAGAAACACGTGTGCAAACTGAACCTGTGACGTCAATGACTATTATAGAACAAGTTGGGAAGGTGCATGTGTTACCACTGCTCCAGGTTCAGGTGGACTCAGCACAAGTGACTGTGGAACAGGTCCATCCAGATCTGCTCCAGGACAGCCAAGTGCACGAGTCGCACATAAGTGAGCTTCCAGAGCAGGTCCAGGTAAGTTATCTAGAAGTGGGGCGAATTCAGACTGAAGAAGGTACTGAAGTCCATGTAGAGGAGCTGCATGTTGAACGGGTAAATCAGATGCCAGTGGAAGTACAAACTGAGCTTCTAGAAGCAGACTTGGATCAAGTGACCCCTGAAATCATGAACCAAGAGGAGAGAGAGCCTACCCAGGCAGATGCTGCTGAGGCTGCTACAGAAGAACACGAAGATGCTGAGGCTTTAGAGACCAAATCAACAGTGGATTCCCAAGCCGAAAAGGCAGGAAATGAGAAGAGAACACCTATGCCAGTTTTAGAATGAAATAACAAATGCATATATTTTTAAAGTTATCTGTTGGGTTTTTGAACTGATGATGGGCAGTGTGACTGTCCTTACGCTAACAGACATGTGGACCAAAGTTAAACTTTCCTGTTGTGCTGAACTGTTTCTATGGAAGCAGACTGATTTCCCCCCACTTTGCCACAGAGGAGGGAACTTTCCCATAAGTGAATGGGAAGCTTTGAGAAGTATATTTCTAGAAAACTTAAAATGGATTACATTCTTATTATATAGTTGGGTACGAATGTATATTTTCATTGTGGTAAGAGTTCTTACTCTCCTTCCCTGGACATGTCCTTCTTCAAGTCCCCTCCCCCCCCCGCCCCATGTTGTAAAATCAAATGTAAAATCATTAGAATACAAGTTTATGTATTCTAATGCATGTTAGAAAATTTGAATATATAGGAAACAAGACTGCATGAAGAAAAGTGCATTGTTACTGTGCAGTTAAATTTTGGCTTCTGGCTTCCTTTAGCTTGAACAACATCCTTGTCTGCCCTGATGGATAGTAATAGATGGCATCTCTGCAACAGAAACAGAGTGGTGGTGGCGAATTTCTAGAATGTTTAAAAAAACACACACACACACCCATGTGCCTTTTCAAAACCAACTAAACTTCTATAAAGCATCTCTAGTTCTTTAAAATTTGTGTTGTAAGCAGTGTAGGTGATGCTGTAGTACTTTACATTTTTTTGCCTATAATGACAGCTACCAATTCTTTTTCACTTAGATTGAGAAATTTCATTTAATGGCAGCTGAAGGGCCATTTTCAATTGGGAAAATTCATGTATATCTGTGGTAAACTTTATTTTGATAAAAAGTTGCACTAGTAATTTTACCACCAGATGAAAACAAGATGAGCATCATTTAAAAATTAATGTATTTAAAACAAAGTACAGAGAAAAACATGTATATAATATATCAGGCTTTGTTTTGAATGAATCTTTTCCCCCAATCCTTAATATAAAGATCTTGTGCTATAATTTTTAAAGCCATACAAATAAGAATGCTAAACTGTGGACTTAAAAGTAGGTGTGTAAATATTTTTAATCAGTATTACATGGAAAATAAAATATAACAACTACAGAAAATAAACCAATATGCTCTTTTCTTTACCTGTTAAATATTGGGAGATACTTATATTTTTAAAGTAAACTTTAAAATTAAAAAAAAAAAAGAGGAGGATTCTCTCAGCAATAGGTATGTGGGAAGGACCCCGAGTTTGCTGCCTCAAGTGGAATATACGGTGAGAAGCCCTAACGTGAAAGGAGGCCGGATTTCCTTGCAGTGGCTTGAATACAGGCTCGTCTTTCATCTCACAACATGAAGGGATGTCTGAATCCCCTGTGGAGACCTTAGAGAAAGCCCTAGGTCCCTGCCTCATTTTGACGGAAGGCCTCACATCTCGTTGACACCTCGAGAGGCACGCGGAGTTCACTGCTTCAATAGGTGACGATGCCTGACTCCTCTTGAATACTGATAGGAATCCCAAAATCCCTGTGGCTACAGGAAAGGGTCCTTGGGGGCCCTGCCTCACCTCGAGAAGCGTCCCTTTTGCCTGGCCAAACCTCGAAGAGATTCGTGAGGTGTCCCTCGTTACTAGACAGGAGTCCTGACGTCACTGAATAAACACGTGTTTTGAAGGGCCATCCCCGCCGTAACTCGAGAACATACCCCAGGTCCCTGCCGCAACTCGAGAAAAACCATGAGACTTCCCCCTACAGGCGAGATGAGGTCCCATTCCCCTGCAGTGCATGCAGAGCTATTCCGTGATCCCCAGCAAACAAGTCAGGAGCTTCGACTTGCTTAATGGATCTCGAGACAGTCCCCAAGTACACTGTCACAAGTCTAGACGGACCCTGAGGTCACCCCAGCAATGCACAGCAGCTCCATGTGCCCCAAATCAACTCGAGATGAGGCCCAATTCCCCTGCATTGACTGCAGAGCCATCCCCCGTTCCCCATTCAACACCAACAGTGGCTTGACTTCCTTCAGCCAACTCCAGAGATGCCCCGAGAAGACTCTCCCAAGTCTAGAGGAACACCAACTTCAGCACAGCAACTCGAGGAATGCTCCGTGTACCCCAAAACGTCTGGAGATGAGAGCTGATTCCCTGTCTTAGGCTCAAGACGTATGCCAACTCTCCAGAAGCACCTCAAGGGGAGGCTTCTCTCAGCAATAGGTATGTGGGAGGGACCCCGAGTTTGCTGCCTCAAGTGGAATATACAGCGAGAATCCCTAATTTGAAAGGAGGCCGGATTTCCTTGCAGTGGCTTGAATACAGGCTCGTTTTTCATCTCACAACATGAAGGGATGTCTGAATCCCCTGTGGAGACCTTAGAGAAAGCCCTAGGTCCCTGCCTCATTTTGACGGAAGGCCTCACATCTCGTTGACACCTCGAGAGGCACGCGGAGTTCACTGCTTCAAAAGGTGACGATGCCTGACTCCTCTTGAATACTGATAGGAATCCCAAAATCCCTGTGGGTACTGGAAAGGGTCTTTGGGTGTCCTGCGTCACCTCGAGAAGCGTCGCTTTTGCCCTGGCAAGCCTCGAAGGGATTCGTGAGGTGTCCCTCGTTACTAGACAGGAGTCCTGACGTCACTGAATAAACACGTGTTTTGAAGGGCCATCCCCGCCGTAACTCGAGAACATACCCCAGGTCCCCGCCGCAACTCGAGAAAAACCATGAGACTTCACCTTAGATGCGATATGAGGCCCGATTCCACTGCATTGCTTGCAGAGCAATTCCGTGATCCCCATTAAACAAGTCAGGAGCTTCGACTTGCTTAATGGATCTCGAGAGAGTCCCCAAGTACACTGTCACAAGTCTAGACGGATCCTGAGGTCACCCCAGCAACGCACAGCAGCTCCATGTGCCCCAAATCAACTCGAGATGAGGCCCGATTCCCCTGCATTGACTCCAGAGCCATCCCCCGTTCCACATTCAACACGACCAGTCGCTTGACTTCCTTCAGGAACTCCAGAGATGCCCAGAGAACACTGTTCCAAGTCTAGAGGAACACCAACTTCAGCACAGCAACTCGAGGAATGCTCCGTGTACCCCAAATCGTCTCGAGATGAGAGCTGATTTCCTGGCTTTGGCTCAAGACGTATGCCAACTCTCCAGAAGCACCTCAAGAGTAGGCTTCTCTCAGAAATAGGTGTGTGTGACGGACCCCGAGGTTGCTGCCTCAAGGGGAATATACAGCGAGAAGCCCTAACTTGAAAGGAGGCCGGATTTCCTTGCAGTGGCTTGAATACAGGCTCATCTTTCATCTCACAACATGAAAGGATGTCTGAATCCCTTGTGGAGACCTTAGAGAAAGCTCTAGGCCCGTGCCTCATTTTGACGGAATGCCTCACATCCCGTTGAGACCTCGAGAGGCAGGCGGAGTTCACTGCTTCAAAAGGTGACGATGCCTGACTCCTCTTGAATACTGATAGGAATCCCAAAATCCCTGAGGCTACTGGAAAGGGTCCTTGGGTGCCCTGCCTCACCTCGAGAAGCATCGCTTTTGCCCTGGCAAGCCTCGAAGAGATTCCGGAGGTGTCCCTCGTTACTAGACAGGAGTCCTGACGTCAGTGAATAAACACGTATTTTGAAGGGCCATCCCCGCCGTAACTCGAGAACATACCCCAGTTCCCCGCCGCAAATCGAGAAAAACCATGAGACTTCCCCCTACAGGCGAGATGAGGCCCCATTCCCCTGCAGTGCATGCAGAGCTATTCCGTGATCCCCATCAAACAAGTCAGGAGGTTCGACTTGCTTAATGGATCTCGAGACAGTCCCCAAGTACACTGTCACAAGTCTACACGGACCCTGAGGTCACCCCAGCAACGCACAGCAGCTCCACGTGCCCCAAATCAACTCGAGATGAGGCCCGATTCCCCTGCCTTGACTCCAGAGCCATCCCCCGTTCCCCATTCAACACGACCAGTGGCTTGACTTCCTTCAGGTAACTCCAGAGATGCCCCGAGAACACTGTCCCAAGTCTAGAGGAACACCAACTTCAGCACAGCAACTCGAGGAATGCTCCGTGTACCCCAAATCGTCTCGAGATGAGAGCTGATTCCCTGACTTAGTATCAAGACGTATGCCAACTCTCCAGAAGCACCTCAAGAGGAGGCTTCTCGTTCCCTGCGTGAGTGCCGGCCCGGTCGGGTCGGGGGAGAGGAGGGAGGGCGGGGGAGGGAGAGGCGACCCGGGAGTCGTTGTGGGCCGTGGGCCGGACCGGGTCCGGGAAGGCGGGAGCCAGGGCCGGGCCGAGGGGCTTGGCGGGCCGTTAGCGGGCCGCGCCGGCTGTAGGGTCTCCTCCCCTGCCGGACTTGCGCGCCCCGGCGCTAGGAGCGTCCGGTGCTGTGCCCACCCCGCTCCAGCTCGCGTCTCCTGACTCCAGTTAGGTCAGGCTCGGAGTCCCGTGGCCGCGGCTCTGGCCCCCAACGCGCGGCGGCCGCCCGGCTCGCCTTTCTTTCTTCCCTCGCCTTCCTCTCCTCTTGCCTCACCCTCCCCCTTTCTTTCACGTTGCTGGGGTTTTGTTTTTTTTGTTGTTATTTTGTGCTTTAGGGGTTTTGTTCCTCAGCCCGAGCTCATGGGTGTACATTATCATGCTCCTCTTTTGTAGAGCAACCGGACGGCCATGGAGGCCGAAGAGACGATGGAATGCCTTCAGGAGTTCCCTGAACATCATAAAATGATCCTGGACCGATTGAATGAACAGCGAGAGCAGGACCGGTTTACTGACATCACCCTGATTGTCGACGGACACCATTTTAAGGCCCACAAGGCTGTTTTGGCTGCTTGCAGCAAGTTCTTCTATAAATTCTTTCAGGAGTTTACTCAGGAACCTTTGGTGGAGATAGAAGGTGTTAGTAAAATGGCCTTTCGTCATTTGATTGAGTTCACATATACAGCAAAGTTAATGATACAAGGAGAAGAAGAAGCCAATGATGTATGGAAATCAGCAGAGTTTCTACAGATGC